ATTATAATATAAGTTTGAAATAATAATACGTAACATCAATAATAAAGCGGAAGATTATTATAAAAATCAAGACGTTTCACAATTCTCATTTCAAACATAATATAAACAAAATCCGTCAATTCTTGTAATGTTACATACATATATTTTATTCAATATGAATAATGCGTCGTATTCAAAATAAAGAAAACATAGAAATGGGAAATGAAAATTTGAATTCAAAAATATTATAAGTTTCAAAACTTCATTTAAATTCAAAAATAAAATGAAAATTTGAATATGTGTTGTTATTGAAAAATAATATCTATATTCACTATGAATACAAAAAGAAATTCAAATTGAATACCTCTACTAACAATTAAAATAAATCTAATCACTTACATATTTTTTTTCCGATGAGCAATTGTTTGAGTCATGATTACACATTTTATTACATGACTTGCACACTTTCTTGGCCTTTTTACATTCAGCAATTGTTTTTTCTTTACCACCGATCAACCTCTTGCATGTACCACAACCTTTCTTTCTTATTGATTTAGGATTCTGAATATCAACAACTTCTGGTTTTGAAACCCTAAGCAATGACTCCATCAACTCTTCCTTCTTGCAATGAGGAACACTCCCATGCATTAGACTCAAAATTACCCTTCAACTCTTGCATTTGCTGAACAAAATCTTCAAGCTTCTCCATATCATCAACTACAACACCAATGCAATAATCAAGGGCAACTTGAGCATCATGTTCAAATTTGTCACAATCCTCATTTATTTCTCCATACCAATGACGTTTCTTCAACATTTTAGAAGGAATGATATCTTTTCTCCAACACTTCAATATACATTGCAACGGTATCTCATCAATGAACATATTCTTCAATACACAAAAAATATGACGACATAGAAAACCATAATGATGATAAAACAAGCAGCTACAATCAAAAGTACCATCACACTTATTATGCAAAACATGCAAACTATTGAATAAAATCATTATTCACCTTGAATAATAACTCAAATTATACATAATTTAATAAAATAATATAACTAATGACAAGAAATAAACAAACCTTGTAATCCAATTTATTTTACATAACCATTTGGATTTCCATTGCATTCACATTCACATCTACTGCACCTTTCTTTTCTGTTTAACCTTCTTATTATCAATCACAACATTTACCTCACACCCATCTAACAAACTCACAGATGATTGGAAACACGACCAAACAGATTTATGAACCTCAATTGGAAGCGGTGTTGTAAGCTTTGTATTGTTGTTCTTGTTTGATGGTTAAGTAACCTATGATTGTTCCTCTGTTTGTCCATAATTGAATCAAATGAGTCCATAAATGCCATGAGGTTTGCACCATGATGAAAAAACAATGAAAAGAATGAACTTTCACTCTCAGATTTCGATGTTGTTCTAATTAACTGAGCCATCATAATATCCTTATAAAATGAAGAAATCCATCTATGCCTATCATCATACATACAAGACAACCACTTGTGCCCAACAAGACCAAACTCAACCAGTAAAGATGTACATCTATTTTCAAATTGAATAGGATCAATGTGCTCATCCACATAAGACCATGAAAACGTTTCTTGAAATCAGTATTTGAAACAATATCCAAAGAAATCTGAAAACCAATGATTTATATAATAATTATAATGCATATCAAAAGATTTGTGATGCATAAAAATAAACAATAAATAATGAATTACCTTAGAAGACAATTTTGTACTGATGTGCCACATACAAAACCTCTGCCTTGACTCTGTAAAGACCTCATAAACAACTTGCTTAATAGCAGAACACTGATCACTTGCCACCTATTTCGGTTGTCATCCAAATGATTTCAAGAAGGAAAGAAGAAACCATTTGTAGGTTTCAATATTTTCTCTATCAAAAAGACTAGCACTAAGAGTTACACAATTCTTGTGATTATCAATGCCTATGAATGGAACAAATACCATAAAGTACCTATTCAGAAAACACAAATCATTAATACAAGAAAAATAACGAAAATAAATACTAAAAAAAAGAGCAATACACATGAATACTTACTTATTTGTTCAAAATGTTGCATCAAATGAAACAATGTCACCAAACTCCTCAAAGTTGCATTTAGCTGTCTCATCCACCCAAAAAAACATAATTCAATACACCATCACCGGATATGCATTTTTTTTCGAACAGGATAGTTTAATATCAAATCCCGCTTTAAAAGCATACTTCCTATACATTTCAATACCTTTATCCAATTAATGGAAAACTTTTCTAGTAATAGGCTTCATATCATCATCTACAATGGGAATCCAAAACTTCAGTCCATCATTACCGTCAATTTCAATAGTTGACTCCCCCTCTTCACCTCCACTATAAATTTAATCTACAAAATACATTGTCAATATCAATTTTCCACATACAAAACATAGATATACTACTACAATATTAATATTCATAAGGCATCAAAAATACTAAGAAAAACGAAACAAACTCAGTAACAATATTTTAAATGCATAAAAGAGATAAAATTAAAAATATAATAAAAATGTGAAAAAACGAGTTGATACACTATATTCAACATGAATAAACAAAAATAATTGAAATTAAAAAATATTCATAATGAATAACAAAATGCCAGTGACTATATTATGACTAAAAGTAAGTCAAAAGCAAAAAACAAACACATTGAACGAAAATTAAGGAAGAAAATACACATAACATTCATATAATTACCTCAAGATCAAAATAATATAATTAATCTTAACAAATAACATGAAGTAATAGAAAAGCACATTGAAATCAATCTATATTACACAAAAACAAGCAAAACTAAAGATAATTTAACATAACAACAACAACAACAACAAAAAACTTATAACATAAAGATTCATTAGGATTTGAAAGTGCGGAGAAAAGAGATAAGGAATCAACTTTCATGTTCTTTTCTTAACATCTGTAATGGAATCATAATCATCATAAAAATTGCATTCCTGTTCAATAAATAATTTCGAGCTATCAACAACAACATAATCCATGGAAAAGCTCAAAGATCCATATTGAGAGGTAGCTTAAAAAAGCAACATAATGTTAACCTAAATACAAAAATCAACGATGTTTTAGGAGATTGAAGGTTGAAATCGATCAAATCAGAAAACGAAATGGATAATTAATAAGAGAAAAACAATCGAGAAAAGATACTGGAGAAAAAAAGGGAAGCATCGAAGTCTGTATGAAAAATGTTGATTATGCCAAAATTACCCCTGAAACCACATATAATCTGCGACTATGATCTAGACCAAATCAACGGCCAAGATCACTCCTCATGTTTACGAAAAGAATTGGTTTTCAAATGAACTCCCCCCCCCTCTCTCTCTCTCTCTCTCTCTCT